TAAGGAAGACCCATACAAGATTCAAGAAATGAAGAATAAGAAGGCAGCAATTAACAACAGCCAAACTAGAACAGAGAACGTCGAGGTACAAGTTGAATACACAGAAACAAACAAGGGAATGAAGAAGAGCCCTAAAGTCGACAAAAAAATGACGTGGAAAAAGTATCAACGACAAGGAAAAAAGCTACAAGAGAAGGAAATATGAAACAACTATATGACACAATGAAGGAACTAGCGGGGATTCAAGGGTAAAGGAAGCGATTGGTAGAACACTCTAAAGAACTCTTGAGTAGACCAGCTCTATTGAACCCATCGAACATCGAAGCAGAACACACAGACGAACGCATTCACCTGAACTACAAGATATACAAATCAACAAATTACTATCAAACCAGCCAGACTTAGTGCAGCCTAATGGCTGGACTACGATTTATTGTACATTACAGAATACCTAGAACAATACGGAAACAACACGAAGCGATAGCGAAGAAATCGATCGGTATATACAAGTTCGAGACCACGATACTGAATATATGTTATGACTGGACTTTCACGGACTGATCGCCCAAGGTGGTTAAAAGCAAAACAGACAGGCAGTTGGTCAATCGCACCGCGTCTAACGTGTTCGAAACCTTACTCTACCGGCCGCTAGTTTCAATTTTCAGATTGTCTGAAGGCCAGCTCAAGGTTGAATGTGTTACTGCGAGCTTAGATATTTATATGAACCAAAAATTTATTGAAAATCCACGAAAATTATAATAGCTTTGAGTAGAGTAACAAAGTTAGTAATGTTTACTATTTAGAAAAAACTGGGTTATTTTTCCTCGCTGAATTAACTTTATAATATTGATCATTAAAGTGACCAATACTAATTATTACTCTGTAGTGTGGCGTCAAGACTATGATCACCACTACAAGAAGGATGAGGACCAGATATCAGAAGACGATTGGAGGTTGCAACGAGATATATCTGTTGGCGATCTCGTGGTATCAAAAGGATGCCGAGATCGTGCCAAAAGAGTACAAGCGGAATCACTGAGCAAACGTAAGCGCGTGCAAGGTCACAATCAACGGAAAGAAGAATGTCTTTAGTACAGCTAAACAAAAAAGTACAGTAAAACAATCACTGGTAAAACTGGTTATAATAATAATTGTTCCCATTAAACCAGTCGTGTTCTCTTGATAAAAGTAGGTCACTACAACTGATAAAGACTAGTGTTTTCGCTTCAACTGAATTTATTTCTGTCAAAGTATTCGCCAAGAGTATCATAGTTTATTTAAAAGTGTTTTGTCATCTGTACTTTTGAGTTCATTGGCTCCCTTTGTATTTGTTTGCTCTTTTGATTCTGACAATTTACAGTTTTTCACTTTTTTTCTGGTCATCAGTTTCGTTGATCTCTGGGTATTGTTCGTGTCCAGTTTCTTTTTGAAATTTCTGATTGATGATTGGAAAGTTCTGAAAAGCATTTGGTAACGACCAGGCTGTGGATACCTTATGGAAAGTGGCATTCAGTTAGATGAACACAGTGGATGGTACTACTGAGTTTACATGAACCTAGTGCTTGAGGCTTTCAAACGGTTTGTTAAAAAAGGCTGTGTGTGGTTGTATCAGCAATGCTGCTTGGACACAAGCAGCTTGCTATCCAAAGCCACTGCAGTGATGAATGATGCTAAGAGGAGTATGAGCTAGTGTGGACGAAGCACACTAGGCGGTACTCGCTCGGTCTATACATAAATGGATGTGAAGCTTCCTCATATAAGGTCAGAATCGATTGACTCACATGATCAAAAGGAGGAAAGACCGACTTCAAAGAGGTCTGTCAGAAATCAAGTTTCAAGAAACGAAGATTCTTCTGTTCTCCGTCCACCAAATGGCAGTCAGCAAGATACACCTAGAAGACCTAACCTTAGGGCTAGGTCTGTTTCCATCAAGAAAAACAAGAATGTGAACACACAAATCATTGATAATCATTGATCTCACGGTGTGTGTGTGACGCGACTGTAGCTGCTACTTCGACAAAAAGTGATGAACGGGTACAGATTGGGAATACGAATTCCAGGCAGGAACCTAGGTATGTTAACAATAAAAGAGGAAAAAGAAATTGGTAAATCATAGTATGATACTGTCCTTAGTCCTTAAGAATAGATCAAGTTGCCTCTTAAAGCACTCCTGGGAAGTCGCTTGGACTAGCTCGGACGGCAGAGAATTCCAGCATTTGACAACTCTTAAGGAGTAGAAGTTATGTCTACATTCCGTTTTGCTATGTTGTGTCTCCAGTTTCTGGGTGTTACTCCTTAGATTAGTGTTGGAACTAAGCTTAAGTAGGTGTTTGAGAGGATGTCCAGAAGTGTTAAGGATACTGTAAGCCATTAAAAGGTCACCTCTAAGACGTCTATACTCTATTGGGTTAAGGTTAGGTGATTGGAGGCGCTCTTCGTAAGGTTTAAATTTGAGTCCTCGAACTGATTTCATGGCTCGTTGTTGTATACGCTCCAAAGTGTCCTTATCCTTTTGGAGTGAGGGGGGAAATTACTATGTTTCCGTACTCTAAATGAGGACGGATGAAACTATTGAAGATTATATAGAAAGTTCTTCCGTCAAACTGGCCAAAAATGCGCTTCAATGTTACCAGTGCAAAGTTTGCTCGAAGGGCATTTTTGTCACTGTTAGCGTAAGACTTTAAATCATGGGGCACCTAGACTCCTAAATCTTTTTCGACTTGGGATACTACTAGAGAGGAGTTTCCTAAGTTGTAACTGTAGTCTGCGACATGTCGCAGATGGACTACTTTATACTTTGAAGTGTTAAGGTTAAGTCCGTTTTCGCCTGTCCAAATTCGAAGTCGAGTCAGATCCTCCTGAATTGCCTGTATATCGTCTTGGTTGCGTATCTCTCTCCAAAGTTTAACATCATCGGAAAAGAGTAATAATTCTGAAGTTACCTGTCAAGGAAGATCATTTATGTAGATCAAGAAGAGAAGAGTCCCTAGTACTGAGCCCTGGGGGACCCCACTAGAACATTCCATAGCCTGAGATAAAGTGAAATTAACCTCGGCCTTAAGATGTCGATTTTTCAGGTATGAAGTGAGCTAATCGATTAGAGGTGGTCTGATACCCAGTCGTTTGAGCTTATTGATAAGACATAAATGGTTAACCTTATCAAAAGCTTTTGAGAAATCTAGGTAGATGATACCAACCTTGTCCCTGTGATTGAGTATGCTTGTCCATCTTTCCACCGCAGTCAGCAGGTCGGTTATACAAGAGTAACCCTTCCTGGAACCATGCTGTCGGGTCGAGAATAAATTTAAGGACAGTAAATAGTCATTTATACCATCGCATATCTGGGACTCCGTGATTTTTGAAGGTATTGAAAGAAGAGCCACCGGTCGGTAACTTGAAGGTTTGCTTCGTCGACCTCCTTTAAAAATTGATGTGATGTGAGCCAACTTCCAATTTTCCGGTAGTTTTCCATGGCTTAGCGAATGTGAGAACATCACGCTAAGCGTGATCTAATCCATGGATTTAATCTTACAACGTGCAACCTCACATGTGCCACTGATATGAGCCTCCGATATGGTTCATTGTATACGAAAGTAATCCCTAACGTATAATATTATACCTCCCCCTTTGCGACTTGAAACTTATCACTATCAAGCGGCCAATCTAGTCGAGTACGGATATTTGAGTTACGAGCTTTTGGTGCGTTTTTCAATAATATGTCTCTTCCTTTGAAACTCCCGAGAACCAGCTTCAGGATTCTTCTTGGTTGGGTCTCGCCTCCAACCCATTTACCAAGTCGTATTACTTTTGTAATATGTACCCCTGAAACGTCTTCAGGTAGTACATTCCTTACCACAAATTCCACTAACTGCAGGTCATGTGCATGTCTTCTAGCAGGGTCGTTGTCTTTCGACTCCTCTAGATTCCAAATAATTAAACTAGGGAGGGGTTTAGCTTCTTTTGAAACTGTGCTCACAGCTTTCGACCGTGACGTTAGATCCTGTATTTTAACTACTGGTATCTTACGATCAGTTTTTATTGTAACAGAGTCCTGGGAGTCGAGCGAGTGACTCACAACAATGTTAGACGAAGCTTTACTATGGGACTTTGGCGGAGTGGTCTGAGAGTGAACCAAAGACTTATCAAGTAAACGGTCATTAGTTTTAGCTATCTTTCCTACTCTTCTGCGTTTCCGTGTCATCCATATTCCATCAGTCGTAGAATCCACATTAGAACCACTCGGGACAGTAATTGTTTTATCTGGGTCACCGGTTGCTGCTGTAGCAACATGGCCACCAATATCTAATGAAGTGTCACTCATTGATTGTTTCGGGGTAGACTGTTTAATAGCGGGTTGCACAGTTAGATGTCTGGCTTGCGCCGTGACAGCACTTACGACACTAACGCAATCTTCGCTACCAGTACCAGTGTTGCCAGCACAGCCCTCATCAGCCTTCTTATTAGCCAACACCAGGAAACTACTTGCTTCCTGGATAAGCAATGTTTTGTTCGAGCAACAAAAACTATAAAGCCAATGAGAGTTGGGCTTTGAGCCCCTTTTATATGCAGTGAGGCTTAATCGTAAGCACATCTTATGGGACCACTCATTACACTCATCACATTGCATCCCTTCCTCCACGGAATTAAGCAATGTGGTTGTCCACATTTATGAGCAGATCTGATCATCTTGAAAATCAACTAGAACGGTGACAAAAACAGGATATGTAAAAGGATTCTCAAACCTTAACTAAATAAACCAAGCGAAAGTCGACCAAGTTTGCTTCGATGCAATAAATACACAAAAGCAAAACCGAAACACTCAATACAATATCACTTTAACTGGGGTAGATGCAATTAAAGAGTAAACAGTAGTTCTGATGCGTAATTTACGATCGGAACACATGATTATGCATTACAATGCATATTGGTCACCGAGGTACATATACACACACTAGGAATGACAATAAGCTACCTCTTGTTCAGATACAATCATTTAAGAGCCAAGATTTAAAAATTACTGCGCATTGTCGTTCGAAGGCCGCCAAAGGTTTTAGAAGCCTATGGTCCGTTTGTAGAACCTTAAGCCATATCGATGCTGAAACCTTTTTAAATTTTTATACAGTATTCGTTCGTACTATACTCGGGTACTTGATAAGAGCTGCTAGTCTTCACCTTAAAAAGATAACAGTTAAAAACGGTTCAAAAAACTGCAACTAAATGGTAAAGCTCCCGTATGACACCCGACCGGCTAAACTAAACATGTCCTCATAATTCTGTAGGAGTATTAGAGGTGACTTAATCAGAGTTTTAAAATTACGTAGTGACAAGTTTGCAACTAAATTTTAGATTTGAAATCTAGATTTGTGTAGTAAGGACAGAAGGCCTAGGGCCTACGTTATTCCTTTTCTGTGAGTGCACTCACATATATAGTCTTCTCTTGAATGAGACAATTAAAGGTGAGGACACCACTGCTTCGGGTAACAGGTGCCCAGAATTGATTACTCGGTGCGAAAGCCTGTATTTCACGAGTATTTTGTTCGTTCTTGGCTTTTCTAATCGCCTGCTATGTCTTCTGAGTTGTCTCAGTCTGGTAGGGGGAAAAAGCGAGGGTATATTATGTCTAAAATCATATATTAGCATTCTATACATCAAAATCAGATCACCTCTTAATCTGTGGTAGGTCTAGTTTTTCAAACCGCTCTGTATATGGTAAACCCTGGAGTTCTGGCATGGGTAGCTGCCCTCTGAACGTTTTTCAGAACATCCGAGTCACTTTTTAAACAGGGGCTTTTAACCTGAGCGTAGTTTCCAAGTTTAGTTCTCACTAAGGTTGTGTATACTGTAGTGAACATGGTAGTGTCTAACTTGTTGATTATTCGTCTTGAAGGCCTTAGGACTCTAAACCCCTTAGCAGTTAGCCGTGGTTTTAAGGTCATGACTCACTGTCACCCCAAAATCTTTGAGACCGGACCATGGGTACAGGCACTCCCCACTATGCTGTACCTATTTGTCTTTGTATCCCCAATGAACATGTGGACACCCTTGGTCACGTTGATAGACGTCAGCCATTTTTAGGCCAGCTAATCAAAATATACAAGTCTGCCCGAAGTGCGCATGCATCTCTGTCTCTTGTTATTCCTCTCCAGGTTTTTACACCATCAGCGTATAGTAGCATTGGGGATTCAACTATTCTCAGTTCATTTGCATACAGTATAAAAGGTAAAAGACCTAGGACAGAGCCTTGCGGTACTCCACTAAGTACTGGTTTCAAGGAATTTATCCTTACTTTCTGTCTACGGCCTTCCAGGAGATCCGGCAATGCCTAAAATTTCCAGCTTCAGTTTTGGCATCTTATCAAATGCTTTGCTAAAGTATATTTAGACAACAACCACTGACTTTCCATTATCTATAGCCTCCATCCATTTCTCTCTTGCTATAAGGAGAATTATTGTGCAAGATAAACCTTTCTTAAGACCATTTTGTTCTTTGTTTAACAAGTTGTTGGCTTCCACGAATGTTGTTATAGTCTTTCTGACTATTCTTTCCAGTATCTTAACTACGACACTGGTGAGGCTGAAAGGTCCTGTAGTTTGATGGAAGTTGTCTTGATCCTGTTTTATGTATAAGCATGACAGTTTTGTCCTTCCAGTCCGTAGGTAACTCACCTTGGCTAAGTGACATATTGGATATCGTAGTCGATGGAGCAGCAATATATTGCGGAATTTATCTCAACATTTAAGGGTGTAGTTCATCCTGATCTGTTGACTTCTCCGTGTCTTAAGTGTCAAGAGCCTTAAGTACATCGTCTCGATCGAAGTTCACAGTAAGCAGACCATTTTCGACTTTGTATTTGGGTATAGTCTTTCGTCCAGAAAAGGCTCCTGAGTGAAAACTCCCAAAATAGTTTGCCATATCCTCTACTTTGTCCTGATTATCCTTTATCATTTTAGATCCACTCCCTTCCGTAATTAGGTTGGGGATCCAATGCTGCGTCCTTGTTCTGTAATGTATACACGAGAATAGTCTCTTAGACTGATAATAACGCTTGCTGCTTCTTCGAAAACTGAAAACTACTAATCTGCTGCTGGATGTTCATCTTAGGGTATATTTTTAGCTATGTTCACTAGCTCAAGAATCATGAACAGCATGCTTTGCGCAACCAACATGTAGTGGCTTGCGGCACCTTTTACATGCAATCAGCGTGAGTCCGGTGCACACGCTGTGATACCACTTGTTGCAGTTGTCACATTTCATCCCATCATTGACCGAGAAAAAGCATGCGTGTCTGCTACAACGACGTTTTACTTGCTCCATAAAATTGTTTAGTGTTCTCAGAGAAAAAAACTGGTCTGTAGAATAAGTCTTTTAAGGCTTTAAGTGTGATAGACACTGAATACAAAAAGCTGAGATTTGTATGTTACTGTAACTGGAAACAAAACTCCGACTCAAACAAGTACAAAAAAGCCTTTACACCTACGAATACAAACAATACTAAGAGATTTACTTAACGATGGGAAATACCACTGCCCTTTTTGTTTTTGTACTTCTGGTAACAAGTCCCAAGAATTAATGACTGTGTGATAACTTGTATGTTACGAGTAGTTTGTTCATCCTTGGCTTTCTTACTCAATTGGTATGTCCTCTGAGTTGTCCAGATTTGGTAAAGAGAAAAAGAGGACGTATCAAATATATCGGCTCATTGTTCTTTCACTCACCACCCACTTTCATCAAGTACTTATACTCATGCCCTCGGCCGAGGGCACTTTTAGTACCCGGCCTTGATACAAACCGCTAATTTGTCTCCTTTACTGCCTTTTTATAAGCGCTTTATATGTTAATGTGCTCAACCTAAGCTTATGAACAGCTAAACTTTACATGACACATTTACATTTACGATACAATGAAGAGTTTCATGTGTCGCCGTTCTGGATATCCTTGATTTCTTGGAGGACTATAATATGCCAAGCAACCGACCTAGGAAAATATTGGGTGAAATATAGAACTTTCTTTAAGGTATGCAAAAAGCAGAAAATACTGGATCATCTTACCAATTTATCGAAAACTAACTTGCGCAGTCGACCATATTCCCTTGGTATAAATCCTATGTGTGTGTGCATTTAAAACCTAGTGAGTCATAGTTTATATAAATACAGTATACACGTGGAACCCTGTTTCCTACTTTGTACTAGGTGATGGGATTTTTTGTAAGACATTGAATTAACGCAAACACACGTTTATGCCATTCAGGTAAAGCTGACGCCATGATATTCTCTTATTTAGATGGGGACCGCTCATGACTTCGCTTTCTTTAGAGTCCCTTAAAAATGTAGTTTATGTGGCGAACGATCGACCTGAATGTTTCAGTACAATAGATAAAGTGGGAAGATGGTGTTAAGAATAAAAAAGTCCTACATGACGTAAAATACATCTGTAAACTATCCTAAAACCTCAATCGGTAGGGCGGTGGCCTACTGATTGAAGCACTCATCTTTTAGCCATTGAGCTGCATACTGTCACATCTATTTTAATTTAGGAAGACGGGGAGTATCATTCAAAATATATGGTCTTCAGACAATACAATTAACACATTTTCTAGTCTAGCTACGTTAAATTGCAAGTTCTGTCTTTCTTTCAGAGTGACTGTCACTTACACCAAAAACCATTATCCGAAATTTTATTTACATCCACTGTGTAATCCTCAATGTGAATAAAGATGATCATATATTTCAGGTAGTAATATTTTTGGTTTTCCGGTAAGCTTAATTGTCGTACCTTCAGTTATATCAGATTAGTGTAAATAGAAAGTAGACAGTTTTATTTCCTTCTTAAATAATTTCATTCCCCATAGTGGAATTCTCTTTAGTTTCCCAGGTAGCCTTTGTTGACTCGTTAGCTTAAAAATGATGATCACTTCACAAATCAACTAGCTTCTTGTCTTTTCATCACTCTAGATTGCTATCTTTAAGGACTCAAAAGTTCAGATGGTTCAGTAAGAGTTAATGACAACGACCACCACTGTTTTGATGCAAGTTAACCAAATGATGCTGTGGATAATTTTATGTAAGTTTTTTAAAAAATAACATTTATTGAATTAGAAAATTTTAGAACAATAAATGAAAAGGAAATATATTTGTAATATCCCAATGAGTAGAAAAGTTATCACATGAAAAGGAAATGTATCATTCCTATTCTCGCTGAATACGTGGTCCGTCTTAAGCAAACAAGATTTCGTCCCCCAATTAGTATTGTCTACAGAAGACATGCATCGACACGTCCTTCTGTAGATCCTCACCAACCTAGTTTTTAAGCACTTCAATAGCAACATTGCATAATATAATCACTGTCAAACATCCCTTCAATTTCCTATCTTTTATTCAACCTAGTGTCTACATTAGCACTGCATTTTGAAGTTTCTCTATACTAATTTTCTCAATTGCAATTAATTTTATTCGTGTACTGATAATTCTAACAGTCAATTGCCTAAATGATTTCAAAATTAACTTTAACTATTCATATGATTGTCTCTAAAAGCCTGTGATGTTTAGTCTGCAATACTGGATTTAAATGTTTCATTTATTTGTTTAAACACATAAACAATGGTACAACGAGGCACCGGACAGATATGCGCCACATAAATCATCTAAGAGCTGGGATGCTACCCGGGTGCCCACCTAGGGCCTTTGACCTAAAGTTTAATCCACAAGGCAGTGAAGCAACGTAAGTAGATGCTCTCCCATGGTACCTGGTGACCAATAATAGGTTCATATGCCATTTGTTTCCTTTGGATCCTGGAGCTAATGTACGCCACTGGTTTGGAATCAGTGTTTTACAACCCCTCTTGGTAGAGTCTCCGTATCCACCAACCCGGTTAAAGCGCCGGAAATCCGCTTTCCTTCTTCTTAGTTTCGTAAACAACACCCCCGCCACGAGAAGGCAGTGAGTAGGACTTCCCTGGCAATGGTTGTATACGCGTGTAATTGTGAGAGTATTTCGAGGGAGAGCTGACTCTCCCCGTCCTCGGTCGTACCACATCATTTAGGGGCACTGGAGCTAAAGGTCGATCTCAAGTAGACGTACGGCCGACAATACACACACTTGAAGTGTAGATATTATGAACTGTACTTCTTCGGTTTAACAAGTTTTCTATGGGTTGCTTACTAACTAATTGCCCGTATTAAAGAAAAAAAAGCCTACCGCAACTTGGTCTTCCAAATACTTCTATTTACTAATTACTTTCAAGGTATGCTTCGGTTTGGGCACCCGGGCAGTATCACAGCCCTCATACATATCGAATGAGATTTGTGTGGCGCATATGTATTTAGTGCCTCCTAGTACCAATATCTGTGTTAAAATAAATAGTAATTTGATATGAAATCAGTCTGTGCCTAAGTACCGAATTCCGCATTATCGTTCAAACCTAAAGATCGAATTACGTGTCCTTACACTTACAACTAATAACTTTTAAGTAATTTCAATTGTTGAGATCATGAGTCAAGTGAAGCTAGACCACCATGGAAAACCTGGAAGCACTGGACGGCCGTTTCGTCTTATTGCGGGACTCCTCAGCAGTGCGCATCCACGATCCCGCCTCGCGGGATTCGAACCCAGAACCTACTGGTCTCGCGCGCAAGCACTTAACCACTAGACCACTGAGCCGGCATCCAACGGTGTTAATGTCTAACTTCAACTAATCCACGAAATTGAGCGACACATCCACCATTGTCATCAGTGAGTTACTATGTCACAACTGACCCAAGTAACTGAACATAATAAAGTATACTAAACGCTATCTTGACCCATTACCACTTGAAGATAACAAGAATGGATTTTGTCAGGCTGAAAAAATGTGGTTGGTTATGCACTTTGAGTGTACTCTTATCCTAATATATTTCTTCCGTACATTGTAAAAATGTTTGGTCAATAACTTATCGAGTAACTTTTGTTTCCATGATCAATTAACACTTATGAAACGGAACCAAAATGCTTTTAGTGGAAGTGATTTCAAACTTACTGATTAACGCCAGTTTAATGAGGTGTCGTGTGATCCCTTGGAGCCAAAAACACTTTTTATCTTTTACTGGTAAAAAAAAATGAATTTTGGCTCTTGAACACAGAAAATATGAAACTAGTTACTCAAAGATACAGAATGTACTTCTCGAGGACAGAAGTATGGATAAACACGGATTCTTTATATTTTATAGCTAGGTAATGTGAATCACGTAACCTTGTTTCCCATGCCTGCTATCTCGTTGGTTTATGATAAAACATTTCTCTTACAGTTATTGAGGTGAACATCTTCACATTCATTTTATGGCTGTGCCTTTTACTTCTTGCTCAAATTAAACGAACAAATATAGAACAGCCAGTCCTCATCATCACTGCGCATCCAGATGATGAATGTATGTTCTTTGCTCCGACTATACTCAAATTAGTAAATAGCGGATACGAAGTCGACCTACTTTGCTTTACCACTGGGAATTATGGTGGAGTTGGTCATGAAAGGAAGCGTGAACTGGACGTTGCAATGAAGAGATTGGGAATTCGACGTTCAACCATTATTGATTCAGATACATTTGAGGATGGTCCTAGTTCATTTTGGCCAACAAAGGAATTAATTGATATCGTCTGTCAAACATGTCATAAGTTCCGTTCTCGTTCTGTGGTGAGTTTCGACGAATTTGGTGTAAGTGGACACAGAAACCACTGCGTACTTGCAAAAGTCTTAAAAAAAGCGTGTAGAGACCAACTTATTCCCCAACTATTTGTCCTACAAAGTGTTTCCATTTTACGTAAATATTGTTTCTTAATTGATCTATTCTTCTCTATTTTATTTAAAGAGAACTTCATTTGTTCACCTTTCCGATTACTGTACGTCCCTTATTTCAGTATGATAAGTCATAAATCACAATTAGTTTGGTTCAGATGGTTATACATGTACTTTTCTGTATATATGTACAAAAACTGCATCGTACGATATGAACGCTATTCCTGAAGAACTTTGTAACATTCACTTAATTCATCTGCAGCTAATTTTTTTATACACTCAGTATTTCTGTCCCTTACGGTTTTCAGACTTAAGAATATCACAACTTCAGTTGCGATCGAATAGTCCCCAGGGCTTTATAATATAAAAAGTTCATGTTTACGGTAAATCATCATGATAGTTCTGGGAGCCAAGTAACACCCAGTTAAAAGTAATTTGTTAAAGACCTATGATATGACAAAGATTATTCCTATGTCCATTGTAAATGGTACGCAAGTATACGCATAAAAGTTCTCTAAATATACTTCCGACTAGCAACCTTCAATCAATACGCTCACAAAGTTGGTCCTTTTCGAATGTTAATTAGATAGCATGGGTCTAATGAGTATTGACCATCTCGACAAGTACATAGTTAGTTGAGAAGTCGTAAGCTGCGGATTGTTCTTCGAGAAATTAACTTTTATAGGTAATTGTGTTCATTTGGTTTAATTCTATACAATAAGAACACTATATTTATCTTGCATGACAAAATAAAGTAGCGTTAAATATTGTTTTAATTGTTACACAGATAATCACAAAATTATCAAGAATATTATTTTCTACTTTTCAGACGTTTATGTTCTTCCATGTTATCCAACAGTTTTGAATATTTAATCTGCAACCTCCGAGCAAATGTCTCATCACACAAAATCTATATAAAGTAGAAAAAATGTATCAGTCGGAAGTCCTATTACACGTAGGGAAACTAGTTATTCAGTTACGTTTCATACTTTTTTCGATTTGCCTGCTATTACGCTAGTTGCAAGTAGGAAATAATGGATGAATCAGTGATCCATCTAATTCAGTCCCACAATAATTTAAGCACGAACAAACGACTAAATTTGATGATTAAAGATAGTAAGAAAGATCTTCAATCTACAAAAATTAAAACCTGACTATTGGGTTTGCGAACACTGTTTTCATTAGCTGTCTGCTAAGGAACCGATGAGGAATAAGGAATACTAGGCATCCATCCCGGACGCATCATGAGTGAGATCCCTACAAACTCTGCTTTTGTGGTTCAGTGATGACACTACTACGAGTCATAGATGTGCATAGGGAGAATGACTCAAACAAAAGCTAGGACCTTAAATTCCCTGATATCAAACCAACCTGTTTGGTATGGCAGAGTTTCAAAGAACAAATGTCCCGTCGAACAAAGTTTGGATTTATGGTCACAATTGACGAGTCAAACTATCACACTAAGGATGCAGCTATAGTCTGATTGCAATTGTCAGGACGCTTAAATTGAATTACGGTTTTGAACCACGCTACGGGTACTTTGATCGGGACTAGTTAGAAACATCTTTCAAATCAGAGCTTAAGCTACTCAAGAATACTTAACTGAAACAGCAATCCGAATCTGGCTTAAAATAAATAGGCGAATATCAAAACCCTAGTCTACAGCTAGGTACTGGGTAGAGGGGGTTAACTGAAATCGGTCAAGCAACTAATCGCATAGTTTAAACTGATATTTGAGTTAGCTGTTAGCAGAAATAGTTTTTTTATAGTGATGATTAATGTTTAGACCGTTTTCCGGATGAGCAATGTCTAACTTTCTGGCTAAATTCCCCAAATCGTCATTTAAATTATGAAATTGATGTCTAGATCTTTAAATGCTATCGCTGGTCAATTAAAATACTAAGGAAACAAAATTCATGTGTACCTGTTCATTCGCAACTTGTGGTTTGAGTCCGACGTTAGCTGTATTGATGGCGTAATCCAATAATGTCTTACTTGTTTTTGTCGCTTTCTTATTTTGCCTTCTCCCGCACTTTTTCTTTATTCCTTTACTTCTGGATGAGGAGGAAGCAATGAGTGTAAGGTTATTTTCAATGTGATGGTTATTATCCTGGCACCCTGATTTTTATGTATGCATCAATACCAACTGGCGACCTACCAAAGGGTAAAATGTCATCTGCTGACGAGTTAAGACCATCTTCAAATAGGAGCTGAGCAGCTAATGCTAAGGAAGCTTCCTCATTTTCTTTCTCTTCTAAAGAACGTAAATGTGAATACTTCTCGATCTCTTTCATATAATAATCACGCACATCTCCTGGCTCCGCAAAACAGTTTGGAATAGGATCTGAAATAAATGACAATTAATACAAATACTTAAGATTTTTCGAAAATTAATGTAATATAACTACAAAGATGTCACCTTCACTTCCTCAAAAAAACAACATATAGATCGTCTCACATAAATGTTAACAAACATTAATGTCGATTTTTTGAACAAAAAACCAACCACACCTGCATTTTTCGCCGCAAGGGTTTTGATTTCAAATTCAGACAAGGAAGGAGACATCCCCGATTCTTTGGCATCATAATAATTTGGAAAAAGGCTTCGAATTTCATTTTCTTTACTTTCGGAAATCACTGAGTCCATATCTTTTACTCTCCGTAGCCAGTTTGAAAGTCTGTATCTGCAAATAGGACATTGATATGCAGTGAAGTTTAAAGCCTGAACTATGCAGTCCTTGCAGAATTGGTGGTTGCAAGGGAGATGAACTGGTTTGAACAAGACATTAAGGCAGATTGAACAAGTTAAGTCCATTGAGCGCTGGCAGCAATTCGAGTACAGTAGAAATCAGTTAGTGATTCACAGTATAGTGGTTTGGAACATACCTGAAACGTTCAAAAAGATTGATAGCCGATGAAGAATTTTGTGAATGTTTTTTAATTGTAACTAGCGAATAAAGATGACATATAACGCATAGTTCTTATCAAAGTTTAAAAGAACAAGAAATGTGAACATATACATACATATTTTGGTGACAAGACTCATCTTTTGCATGAAGTAACCTAAAAACAACTAGGTTTTCATTGAAAAATGAGAAGTGATTTTAAGTATTGGCTTATTTGATCTTCCAGACAATAATGAGACCAACAGAGGTAGGTTCCAGAAACGATGATTCAATCTAAGCAATACATTGGGAGGCGACCTATAGTGGGATTTTGGAGGAATTCAGACGATGGGCATCTACGCAGGATTCTCTCAAGACTTGTGGAGTCTTCCCTAGGCATATTCTTTCTCGAAAATTTCTGCTAAGAGATCCATTTTCAGCACAACTTTTTCCTAGATGCTTAATGTATATACGCGAATGCGCATTTTACATTCTGATTGTTATTGTGTGGCGTATATGTATTTGGTGTTCCTTTGTACTAATATTTATGTGTTCAAATAAATAAAATGTACAGTAAACGTCTGGAACTCCTCTGCAAAATCGACCGTTCATGGTGACGTCTTAATTTTATTGGTGTATTGTGGTTGTGTAACAGTTTATTTTGTCATGTTAATTGGTTACCTTTGCACTTAGTATTTTACCAAGGAAGTTACAGTGATCCACACCACTAATAATCTATGTTGGTTGCTTGTAGCACCTATAGAAAAGGATCTTACAGATGAGGAGCTTCTAAAAAAGGTCGATATAAATCAGTCATTAAGTACTGAATTATAGAATTTAGTGATATATATATAGTTGAAACTAGTAGACGTATGTGTACTTCAGGTGATTATCTGAATATGTCATGGAATAAGAAACCTCTCTATAGCTAAGCACACACTTATTGACACTATCTTTTGCATCAGTTCATCCGAATAAAATCTCCAACATTTGGCGCAATTCGATTCGGCTACTGAAGCCGAGAATTTAGTAAGTAGAGCTCCAACTGCGGTTCCTACTTAGCAAGTATCTCAAATAAATTTGTTTATCATGCAGACATCTCATAAAATTTAGTGGAGTTACCTATGTATGTCGAAAAAATCTTGCATTTGATAAAAATATTCTGAAAGACTGCTACAGTCGGTAGTGTTAATAAACGGAACACTGAGTTTCCACTGTCAAAAGAAGTAAAACTAAAAATTCCATAAACATTACTCGAAATTTGAAAACCAGTTTTATAAATTGCGTACAGTTGGTCCTAGATCTGTAGGTCGTTAATATAACGAAAACGATCAGTGACGATCTGAAGAAACCGTCGAGGTGCATAATAACCCGGGAATGAGATCTACAGATATTTGGGCAACAAATCAGTTGTGAAAAATCTATAGACCACGAAATGTTTCGCAGTAAACTAATTTGTTCTTCAACCTAAAGTTGGTAAGAACTGGTCTAAATAAATTAGCGGACTGAGGTACTCAATCTCCCACGATGCACGTGATCGTTTCATTATGAGATACACGCAAGGGAAGCAACATAACTAGAAGTTTATGAGTAGCGATTTTAAAGGTAGAATGATAGATTTATGGCCACTATTGATTCAGAACTGTAAGCTTTACTATTTTTCCAGCTGCATGTTACTGTCGACAACATAAGTTTGCAGTCACGTATTATGTTTATCACAAGCAACTGGAAATTTTGTATCTTTTACGCAAGATTGCACTAAAAGTACAACCGATATGAACCTAACATTGTTGTCCAAATGATTGCTCAACACTATAAACCTGTACCGTTGCAAACACATAGAAAGTCATTTAAACAAGTATTCTTGTATATTTCGTAACATTTCAGTCCCTTAAAAACGCAGAAAAGAAAGAAAACTCCAACTTATCTGCAAGGTCTCTTGAATTAGTTTATCGGTGAGACTATAATTTACGGACGGCTTTTGAGCGACGCTGAGGTGACCTTGAGAGTGGACAACTAATTAGGACTAAATGAGGGTTATAAAGAAGTTAGAATTACCATTTACAGTTGATGGTTAGGGTTAAAAAATAGATTCAGGGTTTTCACCACGAACTGACATCAGCTATAATGCCGAATGTATGGATGAATTCTGCGCCCGAATTCGTGACTCGTTATCTTATATCTGATTGGTTAGTCCATAAATTATAGTCTCACCAATTTATCAGTGAAAATTATTATCTATTTCAACACATAGATATTGGTACAAAGAGGCACCAAATACATATGCGCCACACAAATCTCATTCGATATGTGTGAGGGGCTGTGATACTGCCCGGGTGCCCAAACCGAAGCAGGTGAAAAGATTGGTTTCGTATTAGTTTGAGGGGACGTATCAAGCATCTTTTAAGGAACAATAGTTCCTGAGCGAATATGTTGTCAAGAAAATACTCTCGCTGGAATTCTTACAGATACGATTTTAAGTGCTCAATCTCATTACAATTTCTCAAAAATCATATGTGTAGACCGATCTACTTGTTCTGTGTTGGATGTGAGGGTCATACAGGTCAGTAAGGGCGCGTATCGAAATAAGTATACTTTACACCAAATAGTTTATTAATTCGGAGAAAGATTTTCAGTCAAGCAATAAGCGTTACTTTATACAAGATATGGTTTTGCAAAACGTCTG